ATCGACAAGTCACGCACTTTAACGAACGACGTCACTTTACGTATTTTCTAATTGATTTCGTCGCGACATGCTGGATATCCTTATAAATATGAGTTTATTATTAATTTAATCATCGACAATTTAGAAAAGTTGCGGAAGAATTTTGGTAATTATGTTAATAATAACGCAACGAGCTCATTCGATTGATCGCTCCAATTATTCTGTGAATTTTGCCACTGTGTTGCGTTGCATTAAAAGTATAAGTTTTGCCAGGTTAAAGCATTGCCATGAGTTCCCTTTCGCTTTTATGCTTATATACTTAGCGTTCTACAAACTGTTATTGTTTACGTTTTTTTTTTCTTACTAATAAGTACGTAGTTTACCAGGGCATTCAAATTGGAAATAATTATTGGAAAAATAAAGGAATTATTTCCAAACTATTAGCGATTGGAAGCTTGTCGACCATCTGTATTATCTATTTAATCGGCAATCGATCGACCATTATTCTCGAGATCCAACGTAAGAATGGCATCGTTAAAAGCCTTTCGTAAGCAAATTACTACGGTAAAATGACTCATATGTGCGCAAATGTACACATCGGCATTGACAACTATTAATTCGCCGATTACCTTTTCAAAGCATCAAAATTGGCTCGTGTAGTAATCCGCATTGAAAAGAAAGACCAATCAACGGTATAATAGTACTGCCAAAGTTTTTGTAGCCTCCGGAGATATACGATCATTTCTGCTAATATTAAAGCCGAGAAATATCAGGGATTCGACAGGTCGAAAGGCTAGAGTAGCCAAGGACGTGAGATATATTTTTAAGATAAACTAAGTGGTGCATAGAGATGTCACGCTATTCCTGTCCACGCGACGTGTGGATTCTGGATTAGTTTATAAATTTTATGCGGTTACTAATGTAATAAAATTTATCTTAACCGTTTAAATATTGTGTACGAATAATAAATGATTATGCTATTATAGTTAATGGATAATTAACCTTCAAAATAAAAATAAAATGAAGCTTTAATTTTTAAGTAAAAATTAATGAGATTGTGACAATAAATTGGTCGATTTAATATACGACTGCAGTAAAATACTGATGTTGCCATTGATTCCGCGGACTTTAAAAATGAAATTTTGATAATGATTATGCGGAACCAGCGAATAGCATATAAAAGAGGCACAGAGAATATATATATATATATATATATATATATATATATATATATATATGTATATATATTAATGAATCATATTAATAATATATTTAATTTAACATTGTTACTGGATCATCAGCGGTAATAATTCCGTGTGTAAGCATCATACCGGCAAAACTATTTATTTTTTTTGATTAAAATATTCTACTTTATTGGAAATGTCGAGATAAGAGATATTAAAAACTTAAAGATGCATCGAATTATTATCTGCGAAAGTGTGGAAGATTTAGATTTCGTAAGCGGGACAAAGACAAAAAAATATTCGATCGAATGGGAAAGTAGTAAGTATCGTTTCAATTCCTTATCATTTATTAAATCAAAATGAATGAAAGTATTGAAATTTTTCATCTATTAAAAATACAAAGAAGATGCGTGAATAATTAATTTATTCTTAAATTATTTCGTAATTTGTTAAAAATTAATGACAATATATATTCATTCGTAAATATCATATCGTTTGTCCATATCGACAATCATAATAGCAAAAAATTGTCGTTTATTTATTTAAAGTCTGATTTATACAATTTTTGGGTATTTTAGTTAAAAAAAAAATAATATTTATTAGAAATATTTATTAAATAATTTACTGTTAAAAATTGTGTTTTATAATTACCGCTGAGGATTCTATAGTATTTCATCGAGTTGAGCAGCATTTACGCATAATTTTTACTATTGGAACATGATCAAGTAATCGTTTTACTTCAATTATTATTTACTGCAAGTGCAAGTTATTGCGATGTAAACTTTTAAAAAGCTTATACATTTGGATAGCAATTGGATACAAAAGGGTGTCGTAATAATTCTTTAAAAATTCCCTTATTTTCGTTCGAAGGCAAATTTCATTATCTATTAGAATATTGATATTACGTATTAATTAGAAGAATAATATAATTTCATTTATATTTTTTAAAACAAGAACTTCGACATTATGAAGTCTTCGACGAGGCAAGAAGCATGGACTTGCATCAATTTCTAAATTTTTTCCGAATCGTATATTGTACAATTTATGTATAATAAAAATAAATTATACTTAAACGTTTCATTATTTATTAGTCTCGCTTAAAATATTTTATTACTTGTTAATTAATAAGATAGTAAGCGAATTATTTTAGACTAGGAAAATCGTAAATATTTAAATTAAATAACTTAAAAGTATTAAGTGTTTTACGAAGTCAGACTTTCTTCCATACAATTTAAGAAAAATAGTAATAAACAAACATGGAAAATAGTTTATTATAGCGTTACAATAAGGCACTGATTTAAAATGAATTTATAACTATATTAAATGTCAAAACAGAATATTCATGTTTTGACCTGAAAGTATTAATCTGACGATAAAAAAAAAAAAATAAAAAAAAACTTTTTCTCAAAATATTATAACTTTTCAAATAAGAATAACTAGATTTATCGATAAATATAATAAATTATTCAAACTGACGATTAAAACATATTTATAAGAGAATTTTAATAGTTCACGACTAGTTCAAACATTAATTTAACCGAAGGTTATCTTTAGAAGTCATAGCTTGGCATTGACTCAACAAATAAAAAATAATGAAATTTAATCAGCTTTAAAGATGAGATGTAATACATTTTTAATATTAATTTTCACCACTTACAAACCGTTATGTAAAGAAGAGCATTTTTTTTTTTTTATTATCAAATACAATCATTCGTAATACGATAACATAAATATTTTACAATAGTCATTATTAAAAATACTTATTTTTTCAAGCATCGTACTCGAAGGATGAATATTTTTATTGTCTATTACTTTCGATAAAAAAATGCATTCGAATTGTAAAAGTATAGCTGCCATTGAAATATAAAGTCAAGCAATAATCTTTTAAAAATACTATTGACAACACCCATAATTATTATATTATATAGCTTTATTAAATACGACTTATAATTATCATATAATTATTATATTAGTCGGTGCGTTTAAACATTAAATGATTTCTCGTATAGAAATATTTTTACTATACTTAATTATCAGTAATATTGAAAAAAATACAAAATTACATTGTATAACGAGAGTTTCATATTTTATTATTACGAAAGTATATTAGTTAATTAAGATCGTAAATAGAGATATTTGAACATCGTATATGAGAAATGAAAACTACGTATGCGTAAGTGAGTATGATTACGTTAGTAGTAGTTGTATTTAAGAATGACTCATGGTACTCATGGCGTTTATAGTAAATGGATTGTGCTGCCACCATAAGAAATGAACGATCACTACTACATCAGTAGGTACATATTCTATGATATCTAAACTATCATGCGTCGATCAGTCAGTTAAATGTCTAAAAAAAAAAAAAAAAAAAAAAAAAAAAAAAACAAACTATGCTAGCAAAACTTGATATTAGATTTGAAAAATTTTTAATTTAATCGACATTCTTTACTAATATGAAAAGCTTTCTTATTCGAGCTAATTACCTTAATTAGCCTTTACTTACTTATGTATAATCATTACTGCACTAAACTGTCACTATAAAATGGCTCCTTCTTTTTTTTTTTTTTTTACATAATTAACAATTTATTTGCTAACTCAATGGAAAAAAAAATACAAGCAATTGATCTTTGTTATGAAACAATTAGAAATTTATTTTATAATGAAAATTTTAAATAAATGAAGCTTAAATATCATTTTAAATATTACTTTTATATATAAAAATTTTATGATAATAAGTGTTATTAATTGAAGCTTTGAAAACATATTATATTTATGTAATTTAAAACAATTAATTAATTAGAAAGTAACATTATCATGTGAATTATTGCAATACTTTTCTTACATTCTGAAAAACATATTTAACTAAATATTTAGAATAAAGTTTACTTGTGCATAGTTGTTCAATTTTTATATTAAAAATTATATATATAAATTTTACATTAATAGTTAATTTAGTAGTTAAATTATTGTACAATTTCTTAATTGACAATGTTAAAACTTATATTTAATTATTCAATAAAATCTACAAATTGAATGGACATATAATCAATAATTGTACTGTCACCAATCAATGATAAAAGTGCATATTTTTAAAAAATATGCGAGTTCATAAGTAAAACAAAAACATATTAAAATATATGACGTATTTGCAGGCGAATTAACGGACTGTAAAATTTAACAGACATGAAACATCGAAAGAGGAAGACCGAGAAGCTTCACAATATTGAATTTATTGTATAACTAATGAGGTATATAACTAACATTTTACCATTAAGCTTAACTTATTATTTTAACTCTTAGCATTGAGTAATAGAGATGTAATAGAGATTAATAATGTTTGGTAAAATTTACTAACAATAATCTTTCATTCTCATTACAATTAACATTGTAATTAACATTGTAAAAAGATCCTTTTTAATTTATACGTAAAAGGTTAAAATGATATAAGTTAACAAAAGATTTAACATTTACAAAAGACTATAAACAAACATTTATTGGCAAAGCTCGTATTTTGTGAAAAAAAATATATATATATATATATTGCATAAAAAGCATGCAGCGTCAATAAATAATAAAACATAAAGAAATTGTTAAAAAGCGTAATAGGAGTTAAATTCAAAGAAAGGAATTTGTTTGCAGAATTAGTGCCACTACTATTTTCTTCAAATTGTTAGATAAAACACTCGTATATTTGTAACAAATTTTGTAACATTTTGTGAAAAAACCATCATTTTTTCATCGTTTACCATCTCAAAGCAATAACAAATTGTACAATGAGAATGTGAATAAACGGTTTTGTCGCAAAATTAATTTCTTGATAATAGCACATATACAAACCCAGAATCTGCATTTTGATTATTGTTTAGACCAGCATTAATATTATTATTGGCGATTGACTGATTCGACTGTCCCAATAACGATTGCCATTCCTTCATCACTTCTTGTCCCTGTATTTCTAATTCCAAAAGACTAGTTGCATCATCCAAATCCTGCATTTCAAACGTGGAATTGCCTCTGAAAATAAATAATATATTTTAAAAATAATACACACTTCCGAGGTGCTGATATTCCTGAAGTTACAATTTGTATTATGTAAATGTACATATGTAAGGGCAATCGGCTTATCCCACTCCCACCCCTCCCCCAGCCCGTAGACCATTATGCAATCATCACCATTAAGTTATTCTTTTCGTCGTTGCACTATTTGCTCAATTTGCGTGCTCAACATACGATGACAATGATTGGACGATATTATAATTTTTCATTTTAAATGTAATGACGTACCGACTGTTAGTATCGCCAAATGAACTGGCGTCACTGCGCTCGTAATCCATCATGAGATCATCGGATGCAAGTGACTCGCAGGAAGACAGCGTATTAACACTACCAGCTCGATTTCTTTTACATTCAGGCACTGGACTGTTCTCCACACTCTTACCTTTAAGTAAAATAAAACTGTATTAAAAATAGATAAGTGAACGTGTTGACTTCAAATAAGGCTGTTAGTTAGTCTTAGTAAGCATAGAGAATTTCATTAGACTTCATTGGAAGAGACTCGGTAATGTCTTAAACGATGAAACCCTTTAATAAACATACAGATCATTATTTATTTATTATTATTTATATAATGGGACGTAAATTCGATATACATATAATTTTTTAACTAATTAACTAATTTGACAAGTCTTATTTTCCAAGAATGTAATTGCATAACTATGCAATCTGACGGCGAACGTGTTAGTCGAAGATTTATTGACATTTATGTGACAGTTGGTGAATAAACTCACATAATTTTGGCGCGATTTCCATGATCGTTTGACTTTGCTCGGTATTAGCGGTCGATGTGTCCCTCAGAGTCTCGTCGAACACCAGACCTGGTTGATCAGCAATCTCGTCATCGAAAAACTCCCTGCCCTCCGATAAGCTCAATGAATTCGAGGCATTGGTCGGTGTGCCAGGACTGTCATCTTCGATCGTATTTCCGGATCTTTCCATGAAATTTTTCTCCTTCTTCGTTACTTTAACGTCCGATTGCGATACACTGGCTGTTGGACTGTCAAAGAGACTGTCGACCGGCGATGTCTCGTCGTCTATCAATGTTGTCGTTGTCGCAGCTACGGCTGCAAATGCCGGATCCTCGATTGTAAGAAGAACGGATCTCAGTGTACTTTTAGGAAGAGCACCGCTCTTAGCAGCATTGGAGATTGCTTTGAAATGCTGAGAAGTCGTTTGCGTGACGGTGTTGCAAGGTACTATTGGCAATGCGTCCAGTCGCTGATTGTAATCGTCGTTGGAGCTAAAGGAATACTCATCGGCCATTGCCTCCCCGCCATGACCAAACTCCTGCTCGTCCGAACTTGGTGGACTGAAATCGGCGGATCTCACCATAGAAGAAGATGAGGACGATACTAGCTTCTCCGTACGTGCTCTATCTTTGTAAGCCTTCTCCTCGCCTAAGCCCTCGTCGAAGCCTTCGGACGAGGTCGTCGACATCGAGGTGGTAGAGTCGGTGTAGCGATTGTCCTTATTGAAGATCGCCCTCTGGTACTGATTGGCTCTCTCTCTAACTAATCCCGTGTTAAGATTGAGATTCGGACTCGCGTGATGGGACGGCGGTTGAGCAAAGTTCTTGGGCAGCGTGATGACCGAGATCTCGGTGACGGTATGATCATCGCCGACGTCCCGGACGTCGAAGCTTTTACCATTTAACATGACACCGAGTTTTCTCGGCTTGTTGTGCGTCTGTCTGCCGTCGTAATATTCGTAACGCGACCTCACTCCCGTTCCATTCTCGTCCGAGCAACCTCCGTGCTGACTTCCCACTCCTGAATCCTCGGTTCCCGAGCCTTCCTTCGAACTACAAGTACCAACCATAGATCTCGGGGGATTCCCGACTTTTCGATTTTGATTGGCTACTGTCTTGGCACTCTTGGAGCTTGCGTCCGCCATTCTTACAGCGTATTGCGGTAGTGGTAGATGCGAGGAATGTAGCGTGTACTTGCTCGCGTGCCCCTGGAATTCTACGCCCATTCGATTAGCATCGAAATTAGACGAATTGTTATGAGCTGATTGATTGGCGGACGTAGGTCGTGATTTGATTTGCTGGGAATGGGGCGACCGATTTTGTCGCACTTTGAAATTGACATCCTCTTGATATTCGTTGTGACGAGGTTGATGATGCTGACGATGAAGATTCTGAAATGTCTCGACCTTATCTTGGTTCCGATCATTGAAGTCGCTGACATTGTTGTGATTATTGAAGGAGAGATCGGTAACTTTGTCGGTAAATTTCTGATGCTGGCTTCGGAAACCAAAACGATTTGTTCTAATTGGGAGTCCGCTGGATTCTTTCTTGGGCGGGGCTAATCTGGGTGTCGAACGGCCCGAGGACGAATAATTCTGGTAGCGCGAGGATGGTTGGTAATAGTCATCGTCGGCTTGACGACGTCGGGACTCGTGCTCCGGTCCTACGGATTTAGAACGCTGATGTGGTTCCTGGTGATACTCCTTCGAGGTTAGGGACACGGGGATGCCGGTGGCCACGAGCCGCTTACGGAAGCCGAATGATATAGCAGTGCCCCGTGTGTGTGGCGCACCCTTCTTCGACGCGTTCTTGTTATCGCCCTGGAACAAACAAGACAAAAATATTTTACCTCCTGATGATGAAAAACGGTGATTGAATGTTGTTTAATACAACGGTATAATTAAAGAATGTAAGATGGCGTTTCCGCGCCTCTATTCCTGATTTTTTTTATTTATCTCTTTAACATTATTCATAATATCTTAAATGAACTTAAAAGGATAATTTCAAATTAAATTAAAATTAAGATCAATATTTTATCCTCTTTGTTATTCAACGTACGATAATAATTTTATGATTTCATGCAACAATTATTAAATTACTTATTTTTCATTTATTTATAATAAATTATTAATTTTGAATAAATGAAGAACAGTGATTACACACAATAACTAAAACTCTTATTTATTAACCAGTATATTGTCATTATATATCCGAATAATTCTATCGAATAATTTATCAATTACGTATTACGCAGGAAAGCAGATCTACGACGTAACAATATAGAGATTAATTTAACCACAGTAACGAATGATTTCTCTAATATTTTTATCTTTACATATCTTAGACAACATTTGATCCCTAAAACTAAATTGCTTTTTTTTTTCTTTTACATGAGATAGCTATAGTTAATGATTTTTCTAGCATAGCTTATTCAAAAAACAAAGTCAGATTTTATTACATTCGTATCAATGCGACAATGCAATTAATTTGTTATAGTTGAATATGCAAATGTCTGAAGTGAACAAGGTCATCCTCTCATCGGCAATTACTCATGAATTCTCATATGGAAATCACATTCCTGTGAATAAGTTGCTTTCATCGATTAATCTGCAACTTTGACGTCGCAACTCAACGCATCACTTAGACCGAACATTTATAATATTACATGCCATCGTATAATAAATTAAATACTCGCAAACGATAGTATTTTAAAGTTGTAATGATGGGAAAATTAAACTTATGCAAATGAAAATTACAACAATGTAAATTGCACGATCCGCCCTAATTATTATTAAGTATTTTTTTTGTATTTTTTTTTTTTTTAATACAGGGTATAGTTAATTATATACTCTTACTTTTTAATAATCGATCAAAAAGCTGTCGACAAGAGGATGAAGCAAAATTACATATAATTTCAAATATTAATTATATTAAAATATTTTGATATATAGGGAAGGACAATACTTAAATGATAAATTAAAATTCTTATTAAATTTTAATATTGATGAGTTTTAGTAAATCAATTTATAGGTATTAATAACCTTTAGTCATATGATATATATAATAAACTTTAACTACTAAATAGGTTTTTGAATGTAATTAATTGTATTTCTATAACTATTATTGCAATCAATAAAACATTTTTGGTAAGACATTGATAAAAATTATGTATAGTTGTATTTTATGAAAATGTTTAATTTCTCTATATTACATATTTATTAATACATTAGCAAGAAAATTAGGAAAATTTTGTTTAATTCTTTATTATTTAAGTTTTTTATTATTTAATATAGCATGGATTTTAATATTTTATAATAATTAAAACACAACACACATATATTTCAATATTACTTTTATGAAACCTTACTAGAAAGCTCCGATTATTAGAAATGAATGCAAAATTGTGTATTGATTTAGTACCAACCAGACAATATTTTTGCCTATCTATTAATAAAACATTTTATTACTATTATATTCGTCACAAATTTTAACTAAATTAATAAATAATCGACAATATGATATTTTAATTTGGTATTACGTTTTAAAATTTCAATATGCATTTAAAACATAAAGAATTTATGTTATACGCATTTACAACATAAAAGCAATCGATTTGATTTTCAACTCAATTCACAATGAGTCTGAGATTTGTAAATGCCTAGTAAAAACTCACTACTTCGGGATCAATATTATAAAACGCAATTTTTAATAATTATCAATAAAAATTGAGTTTCAGGATGAATCTGACATAGGAAAATCCCACTTCACTTCACATTTCGTTTAACCACCAAATGACACGCGGATCTCTCACGAAATACCTTATCACTGGAGTTTTCTCGAGACAAACGTATCTCGCAACCGCTAAGAAGCAAGAATAACGTAAGGACAACCTTAACCTACGCACAAAACTCGTCCACCTCGCAACCGCTGCGCGTCAATCCTTACCGCAACGTCTTTCGTGTCCATCCACCTCCCGTTGTCGAGCTCATCGCCAAAGCAATGTAGCCCGTAACGAAAGTTGCCATTGTCTTCGTAAAACCTCGACCTCGCCATCGCGCTATCCTCACGAGCGGAACAACAGGA